GAGCTGGAGGAGGTGGCTGGGGAGAGGGAGGTCTGGGCCTCTTTGCTTAGGCTGCTGCCCCCGCGACCCGGCCGGATAAAGCGGATGAAGATGAAGAAGATGGATATTTGCGCGTTACCATAGCAACCAGAGAGCATTAAGGGGCAGAGAGGAGGATGTTACTCTCAATGTTGTTGGTGCATTTTTAGGAGGACGCTGCTAATAAAGTTACACAATTACACAGTGAATTGACGTTTATTATTATATTTACAAAATACCACAGTTTTCGTCTTGGTCCTATCATTTTATTTTGTTGTATGTATCCACGGCACCGTAAAGGCTGGTCCGTGAAAATATTGTCTGACATTAAACCGGTCCGTGGTGCAAAAAAGGTTGGGGACCGCTGATCTAAAGGGAGCCAATGCATTTATATGCAAAACATCTCCTTAGGATGTTTTGCATATAAACTACTTTTTTGGACCAAGCCGTCAGCAAACACTAAAAGCTGAGTGTTTCAGTCCATCTTATATTTTTTTTATTCATTGGTTTAGTATACATCCATTCATGATGGCATCATGTTTCCAGTTAAAACTAGCTGGCATCAAGTTAAACCAACATTTAACCAGTTCTTTATTGGTCAAAGTGTTCGTTTAGTGGCCAGTTTATTTGACCAGCTAAATCCTCTAAGCTGGAGCTTTGATTTGGCTGCTTCATACTGTGAGACAAGGACTCACTTTACCACCACCATACAGAGAAACTTGATAAGTAATACAGAACCTCTATGTCCATCCATTACCACAGACATAATACATTCAGAAACCATGGACACCAAGCGTTGATGCTTAAATATGTGTTTACACTGCACCCTTTCATTTTATGTTAACTGTTTCTCCATGTTAAAAAGGTACGATGTGAGTAAGGATGCCTGACCTGTATCTTTGTTTGTCCTACAGGTTGAGGATGAATCAGACTCTCCTGTGGTGCTATTCAAATTTAACCAAGAAGAAAATACTGGTAAGACTTTCATGCTCTCAAAATGCAAAAATAAATCAGAAGTTTTATTAAAGACTAAGGATAAGATAAGACAGTATTTAAGACAGCTGAATAATTATGAAACTTGAGCACAGCAAGGCAAATATTGCCAGCCAATGACGTCATCATTTCTTCTACTTGCTGGTGTAGACCTGCTGCACCAATCTTCTTCTGTCCTCCAAAATGTTGCCCTATGTTTTAATAAACTACAACGCTATGTAACTCTTGAACTTGCGATACTGTAAAATGTCTTGACCCACCTCTTCTTATTTCTTTATATTTTGATAGCCAATTAGGAAGTAGTTGGAGCAATTTATTATAACAGTTCAAAAGATAGAAAAACATAGAAATACACTAAATAAGGCAAAACAGAACTCTCTATAACTCTCTTGCTATTTTGTAATGTCTTTAATTAATCTTCAGGACTTTTTGAAGTCTGGTATTCAAAGGTGTTTTTTGCCTTTATTCTGTGTGAATTAGATTTAACAAGGTGCTGATGGCCAAAGGAAAACTGTGAAAGCCTGCTCAACACCACTTTAAAAAATAGAACAAAGTTTCCCTCATTCAAAGCATACAGTCTTTACATGCATTGTTGCTCTTGCAAAGAATCAACTATCAAAATGAAAATGACTGAGATGTGACATCCAAACAATAAGATCACCATACACAGATACTGATCTCACTTCCTTCTGTATTGTGTGTTTAGCATCCAGTGAGAGTTTCTGTGCTGGAGAAAAAGAGGTCCTTGATGCCTTCAACAGATGGGTGAGTGTTTTTCTTTTTTTAACATGTACTGTAGTTTGCACATTTGCATCTATGCTAGTCAAAGCTGCTCCAATCTACTATCCCATGTAAGTGTCTAAAACATCAGTTAAAACAGAAAATGTGAACGGTGACATGGAAATGTTGTGTCCATCATGCACTCACTGAACACTTTGCTATAACTGGGTTGGACCCCTGTTTCTTTAAATCTTCGAGAATGAAATTGAACAAGATGCTGTAAACATTCCTCAGAGTTCTCGACATCACACAGTTGTTGCAGCCTTTTCTGATGCACATCTATGATGACACATCCCAGATGTGTTCTATTTATGGAGGTCATCTCAGTACAGTGGACTCATTGATATATTTGAAACCAATTTCAGATGATTTGAGCTTTGACACAACCTATAAGACTATGGATACACTGTGGTCATCATGGACCACAAATGGTAAAGAGCAAATGGACTGGTTCTTACATAGGACTTTTCTACTCTACCCGAGCACTGAAGCGCTCAAATTTGGCAACACCCATATTGACTACAACTGTGCATTTAAACAATGTTCAGTTGTCTTACCTACAAGTCACATTTTAACCACATATTCATATAGTGCTACACACTTTGAGCACTGTATCTACTTCACATCCACGGTCAATTTACAATCTCCAGTTAACATTCCAGAACGAAAGTGAAAGGCAGAGGTGGCAACAGTAAAGACATTCTGTACTTAAGTAGAAGTACAAATACTACTGTTAAAAACTACTCCAGTAAAAGCTGAATTAGTGATTGAACGTCTTTACATAAATAAAAGTAAAAAAGTACTAGGTGTGAAATATACTCAAAGTCAGAAAGTAGCTCTTTGGGGGAGGTTTCTATTTGTGCAAAGCTAACTGAACCTTGTCCTATATTAACTTCAAAAATATATTATTTTCTGTTACAACCCTAAAACTGGTTGTAATGGCTCAGTGTGGGGAAAAGAATCATCACTAACAATCATTTCTATTGTGAGCTCCAGTAGATTAGTCTGTGCTCTTTGTGTATGTTCACGACTTAATTCAACAACATATCAGCAGATGTTTCATGAGTTGTCCTGGCAGATCCATTACACTGACACTACACTGTTTATGATGGCTTTTTTTAACATAGTATAAAGTTGGTATCAAGGTGGAATTCAGTCAGTGGATCTAAGGATCATCAGCTAAAATTCATATTAATCTGCTACATTTGATGTAAACTAACTCTAACTGACCATGAATCCACAGTCACTGTGCACCAGTCACACACTGGGTTTTTTTGCAGGGGTTTTTTGCATCACAGTACAACAAACTAAACTGTTTATCCTGCACTAAACTATTATTAAGCAAGTATTTTCATGCAACCTTAAATAGCACAGTTAGTATAGCTTACTTTATTTTGCAGGATGTTTCACAATATGAAAATGTCACATGTGCAAACCCAGTATCTGATTTTAAAACATGAGGACTTGCATGTTGTAATGTTTGCATGCCTCAAGCATTAATGATGACACCTTCAGTATTTCTCAGTTCCATTCTTTAATTCTCAGGCTTGCAGCGGCAATACAGTCTGCAGCTCTAACTTGTTCCTCTAAAATTTTTTCGTTCTTTTTTCTACTAACTTCCTTCCGCCTTACATTCGACCTTTTCAAAATAAAATATCTGTCACCTCCTCTTTCTTTTTTTTAAACAAACTTAGGTACTCAGTGAGGTGAATTATTAATCTAAACCTATAACAAATAAGCCTGACAAGATTACTGAACGTCCTTATTACTTAAGCTTCTCTACACCTAAACATCAATTGAACAGTACGGCATTTGCACAGATCTCTGACTAAACACTATCAACATTCAACACTAGAATCAAACGTGTTCACACAGCGTAACCTTTAACTGGTCACTCAGATATTCAAGTCTTAGATCTGATGTAATCAGACAGATGCATAGGTATGCATCTGTTAGATCTGACTGGGTATCTGGGCTTGTCTGTTAAGGCGGGGTCGACATGCCGTCCAGGTGGGGCATTTTCAAGTCCATGTCTGATTTTCTTGAAGAATGATGCATTCCTGACAATCGAGTGTCCATCCCTTGTAGCTGTAATTTCAGAACCCTTAACCTTGGTCACTTTGTAGGGTTTTACATTGTATGGTGTGGATAATTTGTTGTGCTTGGGTTGGCGATGCAGCACGGTGTCACCCAGAGTTAGTGAGTGTGGTTTGGCGTGACGGGTTGCATCTGCAATCACCTTCATCTTGATCTTTGCACTATCATCCCTTGCTCGCACTTCAGCATCTGAACACTTCCGTGGAGTGGTGTTGAAGAAGGGGAGTTTGGTGTATAGCTGGCGTTGAAACAATATTTCATCTGCTGAGCTCGCCGTTGTGCTATGAGGTGTAGATCTGTACTCACGAAGAAAGATGTTTAGTTGCTGTTTCTATGGTGTGCCCTGTGGCTCGGCAACTCTCAGTGCTTTGCCTAGGGTTCTCATACATCTCTCAGCAATGGCATTCGCCTGAGGCCAACAAGGTGTGATTTTGCGATGATGAAATCCTAGGTAGTCTGCAAACTGTGAAAAAGCCTCACTGCTAAAAGGAGAACACATGGAGAACACTTTGTCAATGACTGGGATAACAGAAGATGCTGATGTTGAGCGTACACTTTGAACGACTGGATACCGAGAATACTCGTCTGTGATGATGAGTAGATATTCCCCCGTAGGAAGCGGTCCGTAAAAATCTGTACTGACACTGTGCCAGGGTGTTTCGGGTAATGGTGACATCTGCAGAGGGTCGGTGTGTGTGACAGGTGTGCTAGCTTGGCATGGCAGACAGTTTTGAACTGCAGATTCTGCTTTCCGATCGATCTCTGGGAACCATACTTTGGTACGTAGCAGCGCTTTGGTCTTGACGATACCCTGGTGCCCTTCGTGTGCCAGTTGTATTGCTCTTTCTTGTAGGACAGTTGGAATAACTATCCTCGTGCCTCTGAGTATGAAGTCAGATGAGTCAGCTACTGTTAGTTCACTTTGAACATGTTTGAATGATTTCAAAACGTCAGCATGCTGGGATTTATCTGTTAGATGCCACGTGTTGTTCCTGATGTGACCGATGTAATTGGCCATGCCAGGTGTTTTTGGGTTGGGAGCGTGTCGAACTGCTGCAACCTTTTTAGGATCTGCTGAAACGCCACCTGTGGAGAAAATGAAACGTCATGGTCAGCCTGGTCCCTGCCAAAGACTATAATGTCACCACTGAGATTTCTGACTCTGTTCAGTCCTTGCAGCGTCTGATGAATAGCATTTTGGAACACTTCAGCTGCAGAAGAGACTCCGAAGCTCAGTCTTTTATATTGCTGAAGTCCCAGATGAGTAGTGAACGTTGTAATGTAGTGGTTGTCAGGGTGTAGTTCAAGTTGGTGGTAGCCTGCCCTGAGATCAAGTTTTGAGAACACCGTAGATCCATTCAGCTCATGGATTACATTATCAAGCGTGGGCGTGACATGTCGTTCTCATTCGATTGCAGTGTTTGCTTGTCTCATGTCCACACATATCCGTACTTCGTCTGGATTCTTTGGTTTTGGCAGTGTTACAATGGGTGAAACCCACGGTGTTGGTCCCGTAACCTTTTCAATAATGTCATCAGCTTCCAATTTCTAAAGTTCGTCCTCCACTTTCTGACGTAAATGAAAGGGAACACGTCGGTGAGTTTGACAGGGTGATTTTATGCCTGTGTTTATGTGCAGTTTCAAGTGAAACTGCACATGGAAAAGTTCTGGGTGTTGTTCTACTGGCTTGTGTGCAACAGAACGTTGAGACTGAGAAGAGACTGCAGTGACAATATGAAGGAGTCCTAAGTCTTTTGATGTTTCAAAACTTAAAATATTGAAACCTTCTTTAATGACAAAGAAGGAGCACTTAACTGTTTTGTCTTGTTTTTCCACACTGCACCTGAACGCATCACACACAGGGAGAGATGTAGATGAGTTGTATGGGTAAATCTTGATGTCTGTAGATGTTAACGTAGGATGTGGTGTGAGTTTGTTGTAGGTGGCTTCAGTTAAGCAGTTAGCAGTGGCCCCAGAGTCGATTAGTACCGGTATTTGGGTGCCCATTACTCTGACTTCAGTGTGTGGGAGTTTAGGATGTTGCGCTGTGTTCACCACATATACATAAGTGTCATCACTGCTGGAAATTTGCCCTGTCTCCACATGTTTTTTGTTTTAAATGTTATATACCTATGTGGTATGTGACTTTTGTTGCCATGATGCCAGGTCTCTCTTGGAAATGAGATTTTTAATCTCAATGAGATTTTTTACATGGATAATTAAAGGACTAATAATGTGCAGCGCTATCTGTTACTTGATGAACAGTTTGCTGTGGCAGGTTTTTCTTATACTTCTTTCCACAATGTGTCTCTTTTCTCTTTGAGCGACATTGCTTTGAATTTGCCACAAGCATTACAGATTTTGTCTGTAGCTGGGCAGCCTTGCTCATGAGGATACCTGCCTCCACAGTTTCGACAGCGGTTATTCGGCTGCCATGAGGGTGTCCATTTGTTTCTAGCTGTGGTGTCGCGTCCTGTTTTGTGCTGTACTTTGTTAACTGCAGCCGTCTTGTCAGCTTGTAGCTTGCAATTCAGACAACTCACATGCACGGCCATGATTTAATAGATCATCCAGCATTAAATCAGGTTCTCTGAGTGCTTTTCTACGCAGCTGTGATGATGTACAGCTTTGGATAATTTGTGTTTTAATCTCTGCAGTCATGTCTGCAAACTCACAGTTTTTGACTAAAATCTTCAGCCTGGTGTGATAGTTGTCCAACGTTTCACCTGATTCCTGCACCGTTTTCCTGAATAGATAAATCTGATACTGCACGTTTTTCTTGGGTACAAAGTATACCGACAGTTTCTGTTTTGTATCTGCGTACTTGTCACCCTCTGTTGCCAAAGTGTCGTAAACGTCATGCACTTCTTCACCAGCCACATGCAGCAATAATTCTCTTAACCTCGCGTCTCCAGTAATATTCATTGCTGTGGTGTAGTTTTCAAACGTCTGAAGTCATTTCGTCCACCGAGGTCCGACGGAACCGAGGTCGGTCTCTGTGTTTAAGGGTGGAAGTGGAGAAGCGTGTGCAGCCATGCTTGTGTCTCCTAAGCTCCGGTAGGGCAAATTCCTTCATCTTGCTTTGGTTGTAGCCTTTACTCTCATCGCCAATGTAATGTTTGCATGCCTCAAACATTAATGATGACACCTTCAGTATTTCTCAGCTCCATTCTTTAATTCTCAGGCTTGCAGCAGCAATACAGTCTGCAGCGCTAACTTGTTCCTTTAACGTTTTTTCGTTCTTTCTCTTACTAACTTCCTTCCACCTTACATTCGACCTTTTCAAAATAAAATATCTGTAAACATCACACATGTAAGCTTTAAAATTGCTGTTTATCAAATCCCACTGAGCAGGCCTTACCTCTCACATAAGCTCTCTCCTGTCCCGTCTTTCTTATCTGAGTGAAGTTGACTCTTTCTTTTCTCTCCCTGTGAAATACAGCAGCTGGACCTTTAGCTAGCAACACATACAAACTGCACACAAACAGTTTGTGCGTTTGCTGATGTTTGTTGAGCTGTAGAGAAATTGCATTTGAAATGATCTGACACTTAAAGAAAAGTCATTACCTTTATCCTCATTCCTCTTCAGTAGGACTCGCTAGATGCCAAAGTACCACAACCTCAATGTATGGACACCTGAGGTCGTTCCGGTGTGTGGCAAAACAAACGAACTCCCCTAAAATGTGTCAAACCAAAAGTAACGAGTCTGTTTTACGGAGTAGAAAGTACTGATATTTGTTTAAAAATGTAGGGAGCAAAAGTAAAATGTGGTCAGAAAAAAAATACTCATGTAAGTACAAATACCTGAAAACTTTACTTAAGTACAGTAACAAAGTATTTGTACTTTGTTAATTCCCACCTCTGGTGGACGGAAGCCAAAGGAACCTGTGGAGGCACAGAGGAAACGCACGACTCCACACAGAAAGGTCACTGAGAGATTTGAGGACACGGCACAACTGTGCCTCACATTAGTAATCAAAGCATGCCTGACACACTATTATAATGTATTTATACCATCAGTGATGCCAAGGATCAAGTTACTCACGATCTTTTGTGATTTTTACAGTTAAAACTGATCAGACCAGGCAACAATCGCCTGAAGGTGCTTTATATTGCAATGTAAAGACCTTACAATAGTACAGAGAAAACCCCAAAAGTGAGAAGAGCCCCTATTGGCAAACACTTGTTGACACTGGGAATGAAAAAACTGGATTTTAACAGTATGAAATCCCAAGCAGAGCCAGGCTCAGGGAGGGACAGCCATCTGCTGCAACACAGGAAGTCCCCAGCAGCCTAAGTCCGTTGGAGCATAAATAAGTGAGGATACATGGCCACCTGATCCAGCACTAACTATAAGCTTCAAGGGCCATCAAGAACAAACAGTTTAAGCCTAATCTTAAAAGTAAACATGGTCTCCTAAATCCAAACTGGGAGCTGGTTCCACAGAAGAGGGTCCTGAAAAAAACCAATCTACTTTTATATACCCCAAGAACCACCTTCACTTTCAGCCAGCAGCCAAAATGGGTGAAATCTGCTCTCTATTTCTAGTCCCTGACAGTACAGCAGCATTTTGAAGGCTTTTCAGGGGTTTAGCTTAGGACAGCCTGTAATGAATTACAGTAGTCCAGCCTAGAAGTAATAAATGCATGAACTAGTTTTTCAGCATCACTCTGAGACAGGATGTTTCTAATTTTAGAGCTGCAGCCATTTTTTGTTTTATATACAATATTGTCTAGCAACATTTTTTTTTAAAAGAAAAAGATTTTTCAATTTCTACATTTGATATTTTGTCTTTGTACCAGTTTACATTGTTTAAATTGTGAACTTGTCTAAACTGAACCTTTTCCCAAAGGTCCCTTGTCCTTTTTGTTTCTTCAGCAAACTGAATTATATATATGTATTTTGTTTCTATTTTTTTCTGTTGGGGTAGCTGGGTGAAGAGCTGGCTGAACTTGTTCCCACCAGTGGAATAGATGTGGTGGAGCTTGAAGACGAGGCCACCTGCGTACGCTTCAGCCCCCTCCTGACAGCTGCAGGTAACATGAACTCGTGTTCACGTTACAACATTCTGCTCTTACAATATACACTTCAATAAGGAAGGGGGGGGAGAACAATTAGAGAGCACATCAGATCTCAGTGGGGGAAAAATGCAGGCTGGATACCAGGGATGCCACATCATTTGATGAAACGGACATTTCAATAGTAATAGTTGGTGTTCAAGCTGCTGTTGCTATCCAGTAGAAGTCTGTGCCTCCCCAGATCATCACCGACCCACCACCAAACCGGTCATGATGAATGATGTCACATGCAGCATAACATGTGACACACAATACATATTTATGCAATGCTTTTATTTATGCAATGCCTAAACACTTTTTATCGGGTAGGGCTCGATTCACTAACTGTTCGATCAGCAGATAACTACCACCTGAGTAGTTAGGAGACATGCAACTCTCACTTCTCATTCCCTTCCAGTTCTGGGGACCCGGGAAGAGGATGTTGAGTCCATTGTGGAGAAAATGACAGAGCTGGTATTTGTAATGAGCTCCACAATGTCCCTCAGAGAAGACTTCAGAGAGGAAACACATAAACGTTCACCCTCACTCAGATACATAAACGAGTTCGCCTGGCCTGGACTGGGAGTTGTCCGGTAAGGGTGCATGCAGCTTACATGAAGTTCTTTACTTAATATGTTATTTGCATATTTATTAATTAGTAGTAGTAGTAATAATAGTGTCTTTGTCTGAACTGTACTGGAAACTTCATTAGTTTTGGATTTGAAGTACTGTACTGTTGTTACTTGCACCCTCATATCATGTTCACATTAATATAAATTTGAAGAAATGTAGACAATTTTTTGTTTCTGTTTATCTGTTTAAGTTGATTTCTTATAGTAATTGCTTGTGTGTGCCTGTGTGTGTGTGTGTTTTCTTTTACAAATCTTGCCATCTAGAAATTGTTGCAATTGGATGCACAAGCCATTATACAGAATAAAATCATTGGCATATATAGCACAGTCTTTTTACTGTAATGGAAAGTAGGAAGCCCTTTCTGCACATGAGTGTCCTGCATAAATTGGGTATTGACAAGCCGATACTACATTATTATTTATATAATATTCATATAATAAGTGCATACATTTTATTTTGGAAATGGGTAATGTAAAGGATCAAAACAAAGACGTAAAATGATTCAGTGCTATATAAAAAGCACTTAAATATAATATATTTAAATGATTATATTAGAGAAAGATAACCTGAGTAAATACAAAATATTGTTTTTAAATGATGATTTCCTTTATTGGCCCTTGCCCTGTGTAAAAAGACTAAAATCTCAAAATAACAACACATCGTGCGAATCATCCCACGAGCGCATCGACGACTTATCCAGGACGTCAAAAACCTGACAACCAGTTATCAGGTTCAGGAGGCAGTTATTTTTTCACAGAAGGCCAAGTAGATTTGGATTCTTTTGTTTAATAATTGAAACCATCATTTAAAAACTGCATTTTGTATTAACTCAAGTTATCATTGTTTGATATGAACATCTTTTTATTGATCTGAAACATGTAAGTATGACAAATACACAAAAAATGAGAAATCTGGAAAAACATTTTCACAGCCTGTATATCTTAGTTGTATCAAGACAGTGCATATGTTTGTTATTTTATACATGGATCAGTTTCCACTGACTAGTAAGTGACAAGGTGAGATGATTTGTTAGTCCTTGTAGGAACTTGACTGAAGTCCAACCGTAATTTAATGACTTGTAGAGACTGGCTGATACAGCATTTGTAAGACCCATTCCAATACAATACTGATGTTTGGTGATATATTGTCTTTTTTTGCTTTCAGACACACAAAGTAAATACATTTGTTGTGTGTAGTTATTTATTTTTTTACACTCCCCCCAACTCTGCTCAGATTGGTTGTAGTGTTTGTGCCAATCCAAAGAGCTGTTCTGCCAACAGTGAAGTTGCAGAGTGCCCTCGATGGGAAAACCATGCAATATCAACACTCATGACATGGATAAGGGGTGTTCTTCCATTTCCACTTTATTTTCAACTTTTCCTTAATCAGCTGTTACAAATCTCGATACTGATAAAGAAGCAAATAGCTAATGTTAAAATCAATTAAAGTCAGTGATATTAGTCTGCCAAAGTTGGTCACACTCTGACTGGACATAGTAAAGAAAGGGACATATGTATGCAGTTAAGGTCTATTGCCATTAAGGCAGAAAGCCGAGCATCGAGCCCAAGGAACTCTGTGGTGAGGCATTTCTTTGCACTGATCAATGGATATTGATGGATGAAGCCAGACAACCATATTTATTAAAATTCCTTCATCTTATTATGTCCTAATTTGCTGTTGTTCCATAGCACTAGCATAGCAGACATGAGAAGGAAGGAAGCTCAGTGTCACAAAACTAAAGCCTTTATCTGTTTAATTAGTTAAATTATCATCACTCTAAGAGAAACTATCAATGTTGCATATTTAATTTCTGTCTTTTGGTCTTTAGCAGTATTCTCAAATTGTCACAAGATCTGTTTGTTTTCAGTAGTTTTCACACTTGTGGATGTGATTGATGCTGTGATGTTCAGGTATGAGATGCAGGCTAATGGAATGGATGAGGACAGGAAGAAGCAGGAGCAGGAGAAAATTAACACTGAGCTACTCAAGAAACTGCAAGACCTTGACACTGACATCCTGTTTTCCACTGGTGGGTACCTCTACTTATCTGAGAGGCTTTTGGAAAAAACAAACAAACACTGTTTTAACCATTTCTGTTGTTCTTTCCTCTGTTTCTGTTTGTTTCATTTCTCAGGCCCTGAGTTCGTGACAGAGCAGGGCTGCATTTTTGTGGGAATGGTGACAGATGATGTTGATGTTTCAGACCTGGTGGATACAATAGCTGCCCTGGGCAGGGACATAGAGGAGAGCGGGAAGGTAAGTCCTGCTTTCAGTTTGCAGAATATTTGAAAATCTTTAGATGGCGTTTGCAGTTAATAACTTGTTCCCAGTTTGGATTCAGTTGTTACTATATTGTTGGCAAAGCTGCTAATCTGTTTACATTAGTTTAACCATAGCTCTGCAGCTAGCTATAAGGTAGCACACTATTGTTTGTCAACTAACACAAACTGACTAACCATCTAAATATCTCTGATATTTCTGCCTTATTTTATATCTGAAGTTATAGCAGTGTTATATCTTTTTTATTTGCATTACTTTTTGTTCACTGATTTTAATAGATTTTTAAAAATCTGAACCATTTTTATCTCTGTTGTAACTCTCTACTTGTTTGCTTTTGGGAACTGAAGGAGCATTTGGCTAATGATACTTGATTTAATGAAGTGACAAATCTAAAAAGTGACAAATTTACTGAAATAAAGTGATCTCTTGCTTTTCAAAGCGGTTTCACAAAACCCTTGCCTGTTTGCATCTATCCTTTACATTACTGCCATCTTCTTGGCTGTTGTCACTGAAAGCTGCACTTCTTTTGTCTGTCTCCTGTTAACAATGATTTCAGCTGGGCAAGCTGAGAAGCCAGCAGCTTTTTTCTGGGGCTTTGCACATGCATGTGTGAATAGACCTCTGGTCTTTGAGGGTAAACTAGCTTGTATGCTCTTACCATCTGCACAGATTAGCATATATGAGAAATCACTTAACTGAGTGAATTTAATAAACTTAACCAGTGTTCTGACAACACTCCATCTCTATTCTTCATCAGTATTTTTCATCTCCCTTTATCGATATTAATAGTGCATATAATGCAGCAGGTGCAGGCTTTTTTTGTTGTCAAATTTTATATCCAACTGTACCGAAGTGGCACACGCCTTACATCCTTGAGTTTACCTCTTTCATCTGGTTTAAAGCCAAAGAAATCCCAAATTGGTGCTTTGTATTTTTTTGGCAGCTAGTTTGGACTTGTTCTGCGTTCTAAACACGCAAATCAGTCTGTGCACGATTACATTGCTCCGCCCATCAGAAAGGTACCTGCATGAATGTACCCTATCATTTATTTACGGAGCCCCGCAGGGGACATGGGAGAAAAAAGAAAATTAAGACGGACTTTTGCGAGATCTCGCAAAAACTTTTGCGAGATATCGCAAAACAAACTCGGGATCTCGCAAAAGTTTTGCGAGATCTCGCAAAACTTTTATCCGCATTCTTCGGAGGCCGCCAGCCCGAAGCCGACCGGGAGGTCGAGGCACGATGTGCCGGGAAAGCGGTGTTCCTCCCGGCTGTAGTAGGTCTCGACCTCCCGTTAGCTTCGAGATAGTGGGTGTCAGATCTCCGAAAACGTCGGAGCACTTTTGCAAATATGTGATGTCTTGTATCTGACGTTTACACAACTACATTCACACCTCAAAATATCTTAAAAGTGTATTTTGTGACCCAGAAAGAGTAATATTACAACTAAGTAGCTGCCGCCATTGTTGGAATTCAACTTTTTGCGAGATCTCGCAAAAGTTTTGTGAGATCCCAAGTTTGTTTTGCGAGATCTCGCAAAAGTCCGTCTTAATGTTTTTTTTCTCCCATGTCCCCTGCGGGGCTCCGTATGTTCTAACGTTTGAGTCTAAGGTTTATTTTTTAGCACTTGACGACTCTTTCTTTTTGCTTCTCATCCGTCAATACTCTGCATACTTTTTCACGTGATTCCGTTTATTTTGAAAATTCTCAACAGGATCTTGAGCTTTATTGTGAGAGGTTTATGTGGAAAATAAACAAGCGGACATGCGGTGGTGTTACCATCGTTGTTACTAACGACAACCCATAAAAACAGCTTGTCCGTCCGTAGTGTGGTTATATTAAATATAAGAAAAAGAGAGAACTTTAAGAAATTAATATAGCCACTACAGTGACCATCAAAACGATGAAAAAAATATTGCCGTAAACAGTTTATTTTGTGACACCACGAAACAAACGATAGCGTAAAATGAAACGATAGACGTTTTTATATTGTCATCCGATATATATCGTTATATCGAACAGCCGTAGTTGATATAAATAAATATGATATAAATATCCAAGAATTCAAAAATTAATTTACTTAAGTTAGAGCTACATTCAAAGTTAATAAGATTGTTGCCTAGGGAAACTCTCATCTGGAATTTATGAAGGGTTATTGCTAATACTTTTATAACAACATGTCAAAATAGCTGGTACGAGTTATACTCCAGGTTTGGCTGATTCTTCATTAATTACATTTACGTTTATAAAGCAGTGATTCTTTTCTGCTTAGTTGCTGCAGAACATGACAGAGGTGGTGAGGAAAGGCATCCTGGAGGCAGAGCTGCAGCTGCAAAAGGCTAATGAGGAGAAACTCGTGGAGGAGGTGTGTGTGTCTGTGTGCGCACGTGCATGTTTGTAGTGGAGTAGGTAACTTAAGATCAGAGGTTAAATCATTCACAAGTGGATACAAGTACCAAAATTGGTGAGCCCAGCGTAAGCTGACTTTCAGGGTCTGAAAAGAATGATAAGCTTCAAACATAGAGATGTTTTTTGTCTCCTCCTGTTCTCGGTCTGTGTTAGTGTAACTGCTTACATTTATCTGAAAACAGGGGTATAGTGAAGTCATTGTAGAAGCAGTGCCTTTTGTTTCAACCAAGATGGGTGTAGGGCATGTTACTACTCTAGGCATTTCCCATGAATGTCCACATCACCAAGGGGGTAAAAGGGTAATCCATCAACTGTGATAACACCTATATATCAAAATGTAAATTCCACTTTCCTCCAAACTGCAAAGATGGGAACAAATAGTGTTTGTTCAGTTGTTCCAATAAGGCAAAAAGATCTCAATTTTAAGTTTGTCAGGAACCTCAAGATAATCAGTACCATTTATTTTACTGGGATTCCTATGTGATGGATTCCTTTACACCGTGTGGCTGATATCAAGTCTCCGCTGAGATTTGGAAGGATGCATCAACTTGCAGGTACACAGAGACAAAGCCCAATCACTATTCCCATTAAACTCATGGGAATGGACGCAGTTAAAGAAATGTGAAAGCGATGTTGAATTTTCCATTTGCATTTGTTTCACATGTCAAGTTCAACCCTTGTTGCCCATACATAACTTAATGGTCACTAAAATTTGTACCTGTGATGTTGAGAAGTTTTTAAGTAATACTTTTGTTTTAAATAGTAAAACTGCAAAAAAAAAAAAAACAACTTCTCAAGAGCCTTCCAAAGGGGGGAAAAAAACAAAAATCAAGACAATCAGCTCTGAACTTCATTCAGTCTCTATCCAACGTTTGGAATTAAATGTTCTCTGTGTTGGAAGTAGCAACTTTCTTTTTGTCTTCAGATTAATAGCTTCAGAGAGAAAAGCACAAGTTTTGGTGCTTGTATCCACTTTTGAAAGATTTGCTCGCTGCTTCACTGTGTGTTCCAGTACAGATGAATAAATGGGAGTGTGCCTAGACTGAGTTGTGTGTTGAAATGATGAATTGTAACTCCTGCTGTGTATTCTAGGGAATGCTGAGACAGCTTCCTGTGGTTGGCTCTGTGTTAAACTGGTTCTCTCCAATCCAAAGCTCCATAAAGGGACGGACATTCAGTCTTGCAGCAGGTAGTCCATTTCTCTGTTAGGACAGACTCATTCTGTGTAACCCACAAAGCTATTCTTGTTTCAACCACATGTTTATGTAGGTAAAGTGGAATACTTTGTTCTCAGGTTCTTCATTGAATGTTTCTTAGTTTCAGACTGAATTTAGAAGAAGAGCTTTTGAGAGAGTTACATTTTCTGTTTTAAAAACTTTACAGCTTGAATTTAATTTGCTAACACCCACCACGTTTCTTTGACTTGCTGTTTTAATCAATGTACAGTGGGGCAAAAAAGTATTTAGTCAGCCACCGATTGTGCAAGTTCCCCCACTTAAAATGATGACAGAGGTCAGTAATTTGCACCAGAGGTACACT